CTCCCAAAGTCCTGGGATTATAGGCGTGAGCCACTACACGGGGCCTCTACCTGCTACTTTTCTTGACTACTGACAGAGGAGTGATAACATCTCTACATTTTACTATGGATTTGTTTACTTTTCCTTTCAGTACTGCCAAGTTTTTGCTTCACGTAGTTTGAAGCTCTGCTGTTAGGGACATACACATTAGGTACTGTTATGCATTCTTGATTCACCAATATTACTGAAATTATCATTATATAATGTTCCATTTTATCGCTAATAATTGTCTTTTTTTTGAAGTTTTCTTTGTGTGATAATATAGCCACTCCAGCTTTTGCAGTTCTAAAATTTCTATTTTTATAGCTTCTATAGAGGGAAATTGGAGGCTACTCATCAATGTTTAAAGTTTCAGTTATATAAGAAGAGTACGTTCTAGAGATCTGCTCTACAACATTGTACCTACAGACAACAATACTGTATTGTACATTTTAAAATTTGTTAAGAGGATCAATCTCATGTTTTATGTTCTTATCACAATAAAATGAAAATTAAAAAATTCAAGAGATAGAAATATATTTTTAGCATGGTATCAAAAAACCCCCACTGCTTGTATTCTAACCCAGATGAATTTGAATATATCTGAACTGTGTCACTGAAAAAGGGTGACAGTCTCTTTCAGTTCATTTCCTTCAGAAAATGGCTGTGACATCCAAAGACAAGGTAGGCTAGAAAATGGCTGTCTGCATTCCCCCAGCATCCAGCTAACACCAGCCTCTTCCATGCGATAAACTCAAAGGGTCAGGCCCCTGTGCTTTTCCCATCTTTTGGGGCCAACACAGAGCTTGCATGGCAGGAGGACATTAAATATTTGTTCAAAAAAAGAATGCACAAATGAGTGAATACTGGAGTCTAGAAAAAGAGGGTCAGAGACTGGAATGTGTCACCGTGTCACCAACCCAGTCTGGAGGAATCAAACTCAGATTAGAAGCCAGTGCTGGTTATCAAATGAGGTCCCAGGTGAGAAGGGTAGTTTCTTGCGCTACCTCCCAAAACACCAATATGTGACCACGACTTTGTGAAAAAATAAATCTCAAACCCAGAAACAAGACAGTCTAGAAGGAAGGTAGACTTAGGAGTGATTTTTTTTTCTACATAGTTTCTGTGTTTTGCAATTTTTCCACACAATATTCTCTTAACTCCTTTGTTCTCATTCTAATCTTGTGTGCAGAAGCTGCTTTATGACTTGTAATTTAGACTCTGGGATGGATTGAACCAACAGAAGGATGCATAATGTTCTGCACAAATGAACAAGGCTGATAACGCGGGGCCATTTATTTCCTAGGACAGATCAGCAAATTATGAACCAAGCCTATTAACAGGGCTCCTCTGCCTCAAGGAGTACAGACATGTACTAAGCTTGCAGTAATCACTCCAGCATAGCCCCTGTGAGGCTCAGCCCCTTTGGCAAGCCAGGCCCCTCTGTTTATTATGACCAACCACCACTGCATCCTTCCCTATTCCTTCTGCTGAAGCTTCCGCCATTCCTTCAAAGAAGGAACACAGGGTGTGGAAGAAAGGAAGAAGAATAAACCAGGTGCTGGGGACAAAGCAGCTTGAGTCCCCAAAGCAGAGTCATCGGGAACACTTCAATTATCAAACTTTACCATACATTACCCTAGAGGGAGGCAGAAGGTTATCTGGGAGCGCTGGGCAAGATATTTGATACCACAATAGCAATTATTAGGTCTTTCTGGAAACAGAGTAATATTGTTATTAAAACTTTTCTTATGCGTAAGACTTATATGAACTGAATTGCTTCCAGTTAATATAATTTGGGAGCAATAAGAATGATAATAGAAGTGATAATAATGAAAGAAAGCACAAACAGATTCGGCATCTGGGGAAGGTATGGGGGCAGTCTCTCTGCTAGGGTCTGACAGTGCAGACTCTGAGATTCTGCTCTGGTCAGCATGAGACAGCCCCTCAAGGTCCAGGTAGGATCAGGCAGCAGGCCCAGCCTGTCCTGGTATCTGTCCCTCCAGTACCACTGCCACTGCCCCCAGAGTTGCTTCCCTATAGAATGCGGGTAATTCCTTCTCTCCTCTCTTTACATTGAAATGAAAATCATTACCCATACCCATAAAGGAACCTAGATTCTTCTTTCATTTTGTAATTCATCTGTCATTTCTATGGTTTTAGAGAACGTGATTAAACTTGGATGAGACAATTCTCTTCTACTATATAAGCAAAGCTGCAAATAAACAAACACTCTATTACATTTTATAAATCAAAGAAAAATACACAAGGTCTTTACAGACCATCCCAGGCATTTTATAGTGAAGAAAGCCTAGCTTAGATTGAGGAACTTATAGGTAAATAGTGGGCCAGGCATTGCCGTCTGATGCTTCCTTTCCAGATCTGAGTATGAGCTGGATATTCTGTTTTTAAGTTCCACTCATTCAGGAAGCCCTTGAGAGACGTTTTCAATTCTAGGCCATGAAGGTCAGGGTTTCATGTGCATGAGAGCAACTCATCCCTCCCTTGCTACTTCAATGGCTTTTGAATCACTCTACAGTAGCTTCAATAACCTCAATGGAAATCTGCAGAGTGGATCATCAACTACAGCTTGAACTTCCTCCAAATTCCCGCTCTGATTATCCTACTGCAGTGGCAACAGCAACATAAAATCACAGCTGTGGCAAGGGGCCTGAGATTGGGAAGGCCATATGTGTGGGCTCTTTGGAACTGTGAATCCCTGCGTGTCACCTTAGGAATTTAAAGCACTGTAAAAGAGCCAGAAAAGATTAGACTATTTTGGAACTGTTTTTACATGGTTTTGTATGAGCTAATTTTTCCTCCTGTGTGTGCATTTTCCTCTTAGGATGCAGGATTCCCTAAGAGAGCCAACAAGTTCTATTTCCTCTCTGTCCTACAATGCAGTGCTTGAAAGGAACCTTGGGATTTCGAGTAGCCTCTAAAATAGCCTGAAACTTTTTTTTTTTTTTTTTTTTTTTTGAGATAGAGTCTCACTCTGTTGCCCAGGCTGGAGTGCAGTGATCTCGGCTCACCACAACCTCCACCTCCCAGGTTCAAGCAATTCTCCTGCCTCAGCCTCCTGAGTAGTTGGGATTACACGTGTACGTCACCATGCCTGGCTATTTTTTGTGGTTTTAGTAGTGACAGGGTTTTACCATGTTGTTAGGCTGGTCTTGAACTCCTGACTTTGTGATCTACATGCCTCAGCCTCCCAAAATGCTGGGATTACAGGTGTGATTTTGGTCACTGTGTCTGGCCAAAACATTTTTAAAAACAAAATTTGCCATGGAAAACTTCTTTCTAGGGCCTTCATCACATGCACACACAGCTTATTTGTGTAGTTTCATTTTCTGGCTCACAGATTTCCATTTATTAAAAAAACCAGCAGGCCAGGTGCAGTAGCTCACGCCTGTAATCCCAGCACTTTGGGAAGCTGAGGCAGGCAGATCACTTGAGGTCAGGAGTTCGAGGCCAGCCTGCAACATGGTGAAACCTCGTCTCTACCCAAAATGTAAAAAAAATTAGCCGGGTGTGGTGGTGCATGCCTGTAATCCCAGGCTGGGATTTCATGGCTGAGACAGGAGAATTGCTTGAACCTAGGAGGCAGAGGTTGCAGTGAGCCAAGATCATACCACTGCACCCCAGCCTGGGCAACAGAGTGAGACTCCATCTCAAAAACAAACCAACAAACAAACCCACCAATGAAAGATTCTTTAGCTCTGCTGCAAATACCCATTTTCAACAGACTTCTCATTTCATCTGAAACACTGTAAGAAGTGAGAAATGTCAAAGGCAGAGAAAGTTCATTTACTTTGTCTCTGCTCATTTCAAAAGACAGCTGCTTTCAAAGGCTCTTACATTCTGCCTCAGTCTTAACACAATCTCTCTTTGGGCACAGGAAGTAAATGCTGACCCTCTTGAGACTTACATTTTACACAGACTTGTGATTCCAATATACAGAATGCTTTTCACATGCAGCTGGGCCGTGTGAACCTGATTATGAAGGGGGAGGAAATTCTTTCTTGGAAGAAAAGATCAGAAGGAGTCTGATGAGGAGTAAGATGTTTCATTTATAGTCAAGAAATAGCTTAGGCCCTGAAAGAACCTGCATCAAAATGAGTACACACGTACTGGGACTGGAACTTTGCTGAGTTTCTCAGGTGAAAAGTGGGAGAAGAATTTGAGGGATTTGCTGAGAGTCCTATCAAAATTAGTTTCTGCATTTTTTGTCTCATGCCTACACACTTGACTTCTCTGTACTTACACAAAATCCTGGTATTTCTTTTCCCTTTTCTACTCTTTACTCCTTATTTTCTCTCTTTTTAAAACAGACAGAGTGTCACTCTGTCACCCAGGCTGGAGTGCAGTGGTACCATCGTATCTCACTGTGCAGCCTTGAACTCCCAGGCTCTAGCAATCCTCCTATCTCAGCCGCCCAAGTAGCTGAGGTGCATGCCCCCAGGTATGCACCACCACATCTGGCTAGTTTTTAAATGCTTTGTAGAACGAGGTCTTGCTAGGTTGCCCAGGTTGGTGTGGAACTCCTGGGCTTAACCGCAGGTCGTGGCCTCCCAAAGTGCTGGGATTACAGGGGTGAGCTACCGAGGTAGGCCTATTCCTTACTCTAGATCAGGAGTGTCCAATCTTTTGGCTTCCCTGGGCTACAATGGAAGAAGAATTGCCTTGGGCCATACATAAAATACACTAACACTAAGGATAGCTGATGATGAGCTTAAAAAAAAATCGCAAATTTTCATAATGTTTTAAGAAAGTTTACAAATTTCTGTCGGGCCACCTTCAAAACCGCCCTGGGCCCAGGCCGCGGATTGGACAAGCTTCCTCTAGATCAGACATGATGTTAGTGGGAATTCTGATTCCTTCTAATTCTCCTGCAACAAAGTTGGCGGGCATCCAGCAAGATGTGCGAGCAGATGTGGATCTCCCCAGGCCCTGCCCTTCCCGCACCCTCGGCGGGCTCTTACCAGCTCCCCTGCGCAGCGGCCTTTTCTCCGCCGTCCTGGGCTCCTTTCTGGGGTCCCGCTCTCCTGGGCTGGTGTCGGGGGGCGCGGGCGCCGGCGGGAGCGTGAAGCTCTGCAGAAGCGGCTTCCGGGGCAGGGGCGGCTTGGAGCTGAGCGGCTCGGGGGGCCGGGCCTTCCCCTTTCCTTGGTCGCTGGGGGCCCTGGCGCCTCGAAGAGCCGGGGCCGTCCCGAGAGGACACTTCTCCTCCTTCGGGAGCACGGTGAGCGACCTTTCTAACCGGACCTCGGCACCATACCTCTTCACACCCTTCGCCTCCTGGGAGGCGCCATCCCTGTATTTGAGCGAGAGGGAGGTGGACCGAAGCTTGACGGGGAAGGGGTTTCTGTCCTCGCTCGGAGCCGGCTCCTTGGCCGCTGGGCAGGGCTCTCTCGTCCCGGGCGAGGCGGCCGCCTCCTGGGGGCTCCTGCGAGGCCCGGCCGGGGTGGCCGCTCTGTCGCCCGAGTCCTGAGGGCCGCACTCCGCCGGCTTCCGAGGGCCGGCTTTCGCGTGCTGGGGCTCGGGGAGCCCCTGGAGGTCGTCGAGGGCCGCCTCGCTCCTCCAGGCCGGGCGGCTGCTGGAGAGGGGCAGGCGGCCGCCGGCGCGTTCCAACGGGCGGGAGGCGCCCGGACGAGGCCGCGCTCGGCACGAGGACACCGAGAACTTCTTCGCACCCCGCAGCTCGGCGCCGCCCCTCTCCGCTTTCCGCTCCGGCGCCGCCCTCTCGGCGCCCGCAGGTGGAGCCTCTGCCCGCTCGGCCTTGGGGCGCTCCGGGGCGGCGGCCTCCGCGTCGGGGGAACAGGGACCGGGCTCTCCCGGGGGCGACTTCGTGGCGGCAGGCGGCGGGGATGCGGCAGGGCCCTCGATGGCCGCCGCGGGCCGGTGCTTCAGGCAGCTCTTGGGCACTGGGGGGCTCTGGGCGGGCGCCGCGGAGGGCCCGTTCCCCAGTCTCCTGGGCTCGTTCCCCGCTCTCTCGGGCTCGGTCTCCACTCTCTCCGGCCCGTTCCCCGCTCTCGCAGGCTTGTTCCCCGCTGTCTCGGGTTCGGTCCCCGCTCTCTCGGGTTCGGTCCCCGCTCTCTCGGGCTCGGCCCCCTCTCTCTCGGGCTCGGTCCCCGCTGTCTCGGGCTCGGTCCCCGCTGTCTCGGGCCCGGCCCCCGCTCTCTCGGGTTCGGTCCCCGCTCTCTCGGGCTCGGTCCCCGCTCTCTCGGGCTCGGTCCCCGCTCTCTCGGGTTCGGTCCCCATTCTCTCGGGCTGGTTCCCCGCTCTCTCCGGCTCGTTCCCCGCTCTCTCGGGCTCGCTCCCCGCTCTCTCGGGCTCGTTCCCCGCTCTCTCCTGCTCGTTCCCAGCTCTCTCGGGTTCGATCCCTGCTCTGGCGAGTTCGGTCCCCGCTCTCTCGGGCTCGGTCCCCGCTCTCTCGGGCTCGGTCCCCGCTCTCTCGTGCTTAGTCCCTGCTCTCTCGGGCTCGGGCACCGGCCCTGGGGGCCCCTTCTCCTCGTCCGGGAGCACTGGGGGCGTCGGCTCCGCTTCCTGCAGGACACTGTGGTCTGGCTGGTCGTCGGGAGCAGAGTGCGCCTCCGAGGCGGCGGCGGAGACAGTCTCGGGCGGCGTCGGATCACCCTTGGGGATGGCGGTGGGAGAGGGGCTCCGGACGTCTTCCGGAGCACAGACCACCTCCTCTGCGGTGTCTGTGGCCGGGGCACACGGGCCTGCGGGGGCTGCCCCCTCCTCCTGCTTTCCGCCGTCGGGACCGAGGTGCTGGGGGTCCGCTGGCGGGGACGGGGGCTCCACGCGGAGAGCGGGGGTCGACTGGAGCTCGGCGAGTTCCGGGGTGGCCAGGCGACTTGAGGGGTCCTCCCCAAGGGTGCCCTCCTCCTCCACGCTGGCCCTGAGCGCCTGGCAGTGCTGCAGGCGGGCGCGTCTGGCACGGGTCCCTCCGTTTGGCAGCAAGGGCGCTGGTGGCCCAGGCTCAGGGCCTCTGTCCCGTGCCACGTCCTGCTGCCCAGAGCTGGGGCTCTCTTCTGGGCTGACTTCCAGCAGTGGCTTCTCCTCGTTTTCCTCCTCCTCGGGAGTGTACGTCAGGTCGCTCAGGGATTCAGACTGAGCACGCTGAGAGATATAAAGAAGAAGAGAAGAAAAGAAATAAAAAGCACCATCACTATAGCAAATTCCAGGAAGCCCATCACCTCCCCGGTTTCTTCAAGGCTTATAATGGTTTAGTGATAGCAATGTCTCTAAAGCTGGCACTTAAGTAGGCATATACCCACAGGTGTCTTTTCTCAGTCTGTATCCTGCTGGTCTACTTGGGCTCACAAGTTTATCAGGAAAATGGCAGATATGCCTCCAAAGTAAATGTCTACAACTCCTCTGGCAGAGCCTCAATACCAGTGGACTAGAGAGTAATGTGACCAACAAGGGAAGGCAACCAACAGCAGCCAGTGTCTACCATGCTCTGTGCTCCACACTTGTTATTTCATTTAATCATTCATCCCAGTGAGGAAGAGATGATTAGGTCTCTTTTTGCACTTCAGAGCCAGGAGCCCAGAGAAACCAATACCTTGGCCAAGCCTGGGCGAGCAGGTGGCCCAGCTGAACAGCTGGGACTCTATGGCCCTGTGTTCCTCACAGCCAGTCTCCCATGTCAACACTTCAGGAATCTGCCCTCATAGCAAAGCTAGACTGGTTTTCCTAAAAGATGACTCATATCATGTCAATAGCTAACCACAGCTTATAGGATAAAATCAAAATTTTCAGCTAAATTTAAAGTCCTAGATTCTCTGGTCTTAAGTTATTTCTTCCACTCCTTACTCAGGTCAAACCAAGCCCCCAACACTGTGCCAGACACTTGGTCTGAGTGACTGCCACCCCCACCCCCTGCCCCCAACCTCCAGGATGCTCTACCAGGACCCCTAAGGACTGCTTCAAACTCTCCCCCTCTATAGGTAGTCTTGACTGTTCCCTGCAGCTTAAGATCCTCCCTTCTCTGGCCTCCTGAAGCCCTACTGGCTTGGCAAACATACACTGCCTTGTGATATTCTTCTTCCGAAAGATCTCTAGAATTCAGATTCCAGTCCAACTTCCTCCTTCTGTCACAGTCAGTTCCTGCTCTCTTGGGAAGGAAAGGAGTTCCAGGTAACCAAGAATCATTCAAAAGTAACATGTGAAGATGACTAAAAGGTTGATGGCGTGTAGAGGCTCATCTTTTTAGAAAGCTTGTGATATTAGGCCCCAAGAGTCACCCAGGCTATCGCTCTCTCCTTCCGCTTTTCTAAAGCAGGAAATAAGACACTCAGGGATATGTTTGCAATAGGTTTCTCTTCTTGTTGTTTGTTGTTATTAATGTTATTAACATTTTTCATGTCATCTGCTTGCTAATAGAATGCAGGACGCCTGGGATGTTTGTGACAATACCTAAGCAAACTCTTAACAAAATGCACAATCATATTTGGATTTAAAAAGAGGAAGAGGCACAAAGAAAGCTACAAATTCAAAAGCTGCAAGCTCTTGACTTTGCCATGTTGGTGGTCTTCTACTACAGGAAACTGCTGATATTGAAACCTCTTTAGAATGGGGGTCACCTTTTAAAACTGTCAGTCATGGAGCCCACACAAGGCAGCAGAGGGGTCAGCAAGGCTGTTCTTTCCCATCCTGGGAACAGTTAGGGAGCGTCTGAAAGCACCTTGATCCCTGAGAGGGGCCAGGCCACAAGGAAGGTCCTTACGGTTGGGAAGAGGGATCTCATGACCAAAGGGCAAAGGGTGCTGTGGACACCGAAGGACAGAGGCCTCCAACATCATAGGTTCCACAACAGTGGATGAAGGAAAATATAGACACCTCTGAGAACTTAAGATACTCATGCGTGCACCTTACCAAGCAGGGAAAAGAAAAAAGAGAAAAGCCATGGATGTGACAGAGTTTAAAATCAAGGAAAGGCTGTGTTTACATGTTTACTCAGACTGACTGTATCAGGTTTTCTCTTATTCTATAAAGTGGGATTCAAGAACTAAGTCAAGTTCAAATGTAAAGAAAGAGGGATACAGCCCTGCACAGATGGGAGCAAGAAGGGAAGCTGCGTTTCCAGCTGGAATAAACACCAGGCTTCGCTCTGTCACCAAGTCCTGGCCAGGTTGTGGCTGGTTATAAATGCCCTGGCCAGAGCCAAAGACATCCCCATGGGAGTCATAAATTACAGACTTGAGGGCCAAAAGGGGGCAGGCCCTGGCCCTGTGGTCTCACTCAGCATGAGGACAGGCAGGTCTCGAGTGACTGGACCTTGTCACACCTGCACAGCACACAGCCTTTAACTGTACATGCATTGAACGCAGACACATACATGCAAGTACCCTGGTCCCTGCTGGCACATCAGCATGAAGATAACCCACCTTGCTGCTTCTTCCAACATTAGTCCCCTCAAAAGTCTACTCTGCTGGCATGAGTTTAAAGAGTACCTTCCATACGCCCAAAGGAAAACTCGCTCTCTTCAGGGAGTCACTGAAGTCCTGAGTGGTCCCAGCCCGCTGTCTCCAGCTGAGGCACCTAGCTTGCCCTGGGTACTTCACCAACACCCCCCCAATCATGTCATGAGGGAAGGACAGAGGACATTAGCCTGTGAGCATCTCTTTTTCAGCACTGTCATTCTCTGTGGCCAGGCTGGCCCTGACTCCAGTGGGGAGGCATTACAGTGCCCATGATGTAGGGGAGAGGAAACAACCCTATGTGAACCTCGAACCTGCTGGTAAATGAAGCCAAAGTATTCCATGAACCAGTTTCTCAGCTTCTAGGACTAGGAGGTAACGACACCCAAGGCAGCACACCCAAAGAGGGGTCTCTCTTTGCGAGGCATGCTCCCCATGCTACTGAGTAGGCCCTCACCCAAGGCAGGTGTCCACGCTAGTGTTTCAGCTTCTTTCATTCACTCATTTGTTAATTCACTCATTCATTTGTTCAATCACTCATCCATTTAACATCTCTGTTACTAGAAATGTTCTAGGGGCTGAAAGTACAGCCAGGACAGGGTCTCAAGACTGGCAATAAGAGCACATCCATTTGCAAAAATCACTTTGGCATGTGGCAAGTGCTCCTAAGGAATTGAACGGGCAGGGTGAGTTTCTTTGGGGGACTGTCAGGCCCCAAAGCTGGGCCACAGCAGCACCAATGCCTGAGGCTAGAAGCAGCTCATGAGCTCAAGAGGCAGAAAGGTGGCCAGAGTGCTGATTGAGAAAGAGGGTAAGAAGCCTGGGGGGTAGGCAGTACCTGATATGCCAGGCCTGAAGTGTGGACATTACACTGAGTGCAGGGGGAAGGCAACCAGCATTCAATAGTGACTGTGTAAGGAATGATGGATGAATGGATGGATGGATGGATGGACCGATAGATGGATGGATGGATGGATGGATGGATGGATGGATGGATGGAGTGTTTCTGCAAGGGAGAGACAGATGTGGTTTATGTTTAAAAGGATGAGAAACTTCAGCTCCTGCAGCATGGCTCCATCAACTATGGGGTGCTTGGAGGGGATATGAGACCTTATGCGGGGGAGTGAGGTAGGTTGGGGGTGTGTGTTGGGTGGGGGGTGCAAGCCTGCCTAGCCTGCCTCTGCGTGGAGAAGGAAACCCAATTACCGATGAGAGCCGCCTCATTTTACTCGACCGCTGGTTGCGGGGCTTGACCTGGAGCTTGTGCTTAGCTGCAGAGTTGTCCAGGCAGGAGGAGGATTCTGGAGGGTAACTGAAGTCAGCCACTGGTGCCAGGCTGCTGTCCGAGGTCCGGGCGGAGACAGTGCTGTTGCTCACGTGGTCTGGAGACACGACAGAGACCTTCATGGGACAGGGAACAAATACGCTGAGCATGAGCTTCACCATCTGAAATAAGGACAACCAACGCAGGCTTGGTCTTCCCACAGTCTCTGGCTTTACATGTGTGGAAATGCTTTCTTTTTTTTGCAGGGAGGGGGATGGCAGGAGTCTTGCTCTGTCACCTAGGCTAGAATGCTGCAGTGGTGTGAGCTCGGCTCACTGCAACCTCCACTTCCCAGGTTCAAGCAATTCTCCTGCCTCAGCCTCCTGAGTAGCCCGGATTACAGGCACACGCCACAACACCCAGCTAATTTTTGTATTGTTAGTAGAGACGGGGCTTTACCATGATGGCCAGGATGGTCTCGAACTCCTGACCTCATGATCTGCCTGCCTTGGCCTCCCAAACTGCTGGGATCAGGGTCTAGGATCCTCCTGGAGAAAGATAAATGGCTGGGAGTTTAAAGTGTGAGGCCAACTCCTGGAAACCTGTCACTCCTTCGTGAGACCACGAAGAAAACCTGTGTCTCAGGCTTCCCTGTCATCCTCCTGTGGCAGCTGGCACAGGCACTTCAGACAAAAGAGCTTTCTCTGACAAAACACACCAGCCCAATTTGTCCAGGGCACAGTCACCTGGTCGTGACTCTGGAAGCTGAGAGGAAGGTTCAGAGCTGTGATTTTAGTGCCGAGCCCACTGCCTAGCGCTCCATCACTGGAGCCTTGCTGGTTCATCCTGGAAGGTTTCTGGGTACTCATGTGTCCTCTTGAAGAAATCTGGGTGGAAGTTGCCATCTGTTACAGGTATTTTACTCATTTTTACTTCAGCATGGAAGAATTGACAGCAAAGGCTAAACATGTCACCTGGGACAAAGGGATGCTGGCAGTCATATGGAAGAATGAGGGCAATACCCAAAGATCCCTGCCCCCAGAACTTGGCCAGCCCCACTACAGAGTGAGGTCGAACTGGGCTCCCCTGCAGACAGGAGTAGGCATGAAGCTTAGAGCACCTGTGAGCACATGCAGCCCAGATGAGGGATGAGGTGCACAGGGAAACTCTGGGAGGTGACGGGCTTTTCATATAATTCTGTGACCTTCAAGCAAGCTTTCTACTCAAGCATGATGGGCAGTATTAGTGTCAAGTTTCCATTTAACTTAAGAATAGAATTTTATTCACACAATGATTCAGTAACACCTCATGAAAACTGAATGAGGCAGTGAGACAACACACCAGTGTCGTCCCCAGTGGCAAGCTCCCAGGGCCATGGGCACATCCACTGTTTCTCTTCCATAACCCTGGGACCCCACACAGTGCAGGTGCCCAGTGGCCTTTGCTAACCCTGACAGGGAACCATAAAAATGACCGTACTGGAGAGATGGACTCCGACATGGGAGGAACTACCTCTCCCTGTTTACATGAAGGCCTCTCCTATTTTCTAATAAAAGTGTAATTTATCCGTGTAAACAAGGAGGAGATAATTACTACCATGGGGGAGAAGGGGCTAAAAGTGGACATAATCTACATAAATTCTATTTTAGCTATTCAGATACTTACAGGAATAAAGTGAAAACAAATTATGCTAAAAATAAGCCGTAAGTCTCCAGGCCATGACTATGTATGTGCCTGTGGCTTTGGCTCTCACTGTGGTCACTGATGACTCAGGAAGTCGCCTTAGACTGGGAAATCAATACCTTTCCCAGATAGTCTTCCTTAAAGGTCACAAACAGGATGTATACATTTAAACAAAAATCATACAGAATCTGTAATATTTACCTGTGTCTAGAGGAACAATGTATAAACATTTGGTTAAAAAAAAAAAAACCTCACTGCCTAGGACTCATGAGAACAGACAAGATGAGCCGCTTTGCAAGTGCAGTGAGAATGATCATGGTGCCTGTGACAATGATACCCCTGACTGCTCCTCTATAAGCCCAATACCCTGAAGGCTCCAAAGGATAAACAGCAGGCCTTCCTCCCTGTGGGCCACCTGGCGTCTGTCCTGTCTGGGCAGATGTCCTGGGCTCAGGCCCACTCTGGCCCCTGGGCTAGGGGACCTTGGCATGGAGCCTAACTCCCCTGACGTGTGTCCCAGGTACAAGCTCTCCCCCACTAGGGAACTCAACTTCTCTGGTCTCAGAACTCTCACTTCTGTTTCCACTGTTGCTCTGAGAGATCTTGCGGTCTGGAAAGACCCCCCATCTTCATGATCAAGGAGAATCGTGTCTGTTGTTGATCAGTGATATAAATACGTGGGGTGGGCTAGGACCATGGGGAAGAGATGAGGGCTGGGAAGCTGGATTCATGGATGGGCTGGTAGCACCCAGAACATTCACCTCTGCATGGCTTGCTTCCAGTCACCCAGTTTTTCCTGAAATCTTTGCTTCTGGATGATTCTGAAAGCAGAAAATTTAAAAGCCTAGTATGTGGCTCTTTGTTGCAGGGAAGGCAGCTCAAAGGGCCCAGAGGAAATGGCTGGAGGAAATGGGTTCAGAAGCTTTTCATGGGCGGCCCTGAGTGACAGGTGCTTTAGGATGTGTGTCCTCAAAAAGAGGGGCTCAGTCACTGAGGAGTGAGCTGGGGGCAGTTCATGCAGGAAGGGCCACTGGACAGGAAGCAGGGGCACCTGGGTGTTCCAGGGGTAAAGAGAAGCCACTGGTCCTACTGGAAGGAGAGGTGCTGATCTACCCAATCTCATCTCATCCCCCGAAAACTCTCTGAGCCAAAACCCTCTGAAGACACAGATTCCAAGAGGTGATAAGCCTGCTGGAGGCCAACCTCTGGAGCTGTGGGCATGTATTTGTTCATTTGCCACCAGATTTGTGTTCCCTCCCCATCTGCCCTTCCCGCATCACCAGGAGCAAAATGACTCAGTAGCCCTGCCAGTTTATCAACCGTCTACCTGGCATGCCCTGCTTCGTAGCAGGACACTGAGAATATGACCCATTAGACATTATTTTATCTTAAAAACCACCAAGTAAACTTTCATCAGTTATGACACTTGGTAATAAAATTTTAAAAATTATTCCATGTATTTCCTGAAAAACTTACTCTATCAGGAAATGTCACCCTGGTTATAACATTAAATACTTGCTATAAAGACTCTTTTTTCCACAATACGTTTCTCTGTCTATGTGGGCCTTTGTAAGCATGTGGGCCTGTGTAAGGTGTAAATATGAGAGAACATTAAACAGCCTCCATCCATCCTTTTGGGGCCAGAGGCACTATTTTATCAAATACAACATATTCTAGAAGCCCATTTTAAAGGGTGTGTTGTTTATCCCTCTCAATTGACCAATTATGCATAAAAACTTTCAGGCCTCAAAATGGAATCATTGTGTCTTCAAAACAATGAAGACAGTAAAGATTACACTTTTGCTTTTAAGTCTTAAAGTTCCAAATTTTGGTTTCCTATGAAGCTAGCAGATTGTCCATATTACCCAAAAATTGATAAAATCTCAAATTTTTTTTTTTTTTTTTAAAATAAAGGACCAACCGCAGGAGGTGGTTGTGCTGTGAGAGACAAGGTCAGCCTGGCCCAGCCGAGCCACCTGTGGAATTTGTGCCTCATGGTGTCACACGGGTTTGGAGACAGGCTTGCTTGTCAATGGATGGGTTAGAAACGACCTCTCCTCTTACTGCCCATCCTGGCTAAAGGTAGAGAACTGGGATGCTGTGAGAGTCAGAGATCTGTGGGATGGGAAGGGGGGAGTCCATCTATGATGAGGAATCAGGCAGCTCACAACAGACCTCTTCCTACTGCATAGCCCAGAAATACACAAAGTCGCATCTGCTACTGACAGGAGGACTCTGAAATTGCACAAAAGAGTATTTGAGGTGTTAAGGCGTACTGGGTTGGTTCGGTGGAGTCTATGACATAGGCCATACCATCCTCCTCTTCCTCTCTCCCTTCTGCTCAAGGCTGGAGAGCAGTCCTGGGTAGCCCACTGTCCTCAGACCCTGCTCCTGGAATGAGCAGGGACAGCCTCGCCCCTGAGCGGAATTCTAGAGAGAATAATTCTCTAGCTGGGTTCACGTCAGTCCCCATCCCACACACTCAGCCCCACCACAGTCCTTCTGCCTTTTTATCAGTGATGTTTTGGGAACTTACAACCACACCCAAAAATTTTGTGTGGCAGGGTTTATAGGTGCGCACATTGAAGTGGCTTCTGAACAGAGTTCAGAGCAGCACAGAATCTGCAAGGCAGTGGGTTACGACGAACCCATCCCCTTCACTGCCAGTGGCCCCTTGAGCAGGCCAGAGGTGACAGGGCTGCAGGGGCAGGTGTGTGGCTATAAAAAAATAAACTCTGGCCTTTATTTGTTTTCCAAGTGTCAGCATAACAGATGACTCTAACTCTATCCATCCCCCACAGCCAGGGTTGTCTACATGAGAACGATGACCACCTATTTGTAACATTTATGTGCAAGTGCATTGTATGGGCATTAAGTGTTCTTACCACAATAACATAAAGAATTTAAAATGTGGCAACATCACTAGCTATGTTGTTTATGCATGAGAAAGAGCTTAGTTCCTTGCCTGCTGCCCCCCCCCAACCCCGCCCCTTGGTTTCTAATGGGGAAGGTGGTGTTTGGGACCGGTTCTTCCACCTTGCTGAGTTCATCAGTTCCTCTCTTGCTTGTCAACCTTTCCCTGCTGCCCTGTTTGCAGCAACACAGCACATTACTACTTGCACGCCAACACCGCCTCAGGGTCACAGGCTCAGGCACCGGAGACCATCAGAACCTCAACGGTCACATACTCACTATTCCCCCTTCCCACCGGCCAAATGTCAGGGCAACAGAAAACAGACACAATGTGTTTCCTTTATTCTAAATGGGGTTCTGGGTCTAGTCATCTGCTCACACAGGAAAGACTAGGGAGAGGGTTGATTCCGAGTTAATTCTATCAACCTATCATCCTTATAAAAAAAAGTCACCAAAACCAGTCTCCTAACCAGACCTGAATTTCTACTCAAAGAATGAAAATAAACACATCTCAAGGGCTGACTGTAGGCTCTAGTGACCCAGTCGGCCACACCACGCACAGCCTCACCTATCCATGGAGATCTCAGAGGCACACACAGGGGATCCCAGAGCTCCAGCGCCCTCCACGGCAGGTATGGATGGAGACGTGCAGCAGCACAGGCCGTACTTGCCTTTATAGTTGTGCCAGGACCCACGTCGTGCAGCAGAGACATCTCTGGGGGGCTCCTGGGCAGCCCGTCGTCCTCAGAGCTCATGCCGGCGTCTTCTCCCCGCTTGGCAGGAAGTCCCCCTGGAGGAGGTGGTGGTCCCATTTTCACATTACACTGTATTTTTAACTAGATTGGAATAAAGAACATGTGCTCTTATTTTCATCAATGATATTTATCAACAAATCCTCCTGCTCTAACTCATTCATGCTGAAAATGTCTTCAGTGTTTTGGCATGATGCAGAGAACTGAACTGAACGTGCATCTGCCGCCAGCTCTTCCACTGCCATCTCTTCTTTGTTTAAGAATGAGTCGAGAGGCCATTGTAACTCGGTGTGTCCTGGGAGAGCTGTCATGTATGTGATTCTACTTTACGGCGTACCAAATAAACCAAGCAGAAACCATTTAAAAACGTTTCGATGGATGTTTGACTTGCATACCCGGTGACACAACCAAAGAAACATTTACCTGCAGAGCTTTAATCCGATCACACACATTCTCTTGGGAAAACACCCGCACAGGCCGAGTGGGGTCCTGTCCGGACTCAGGAATGAAAATACTGTCGTGAGAGAGGGCCCGGCTGCCCATCGTGCCCCTTGACTCCCTAGGATAAAACAGCCACTGTGAGACTCTGCCCACCTCCATCTTACTGACCCCCCCAGGGGGCTCAGAATGAGAAAGGGGTATCTGGGTTAACAGAACATCATACAACACTCCCTCTGCTGCGTTTACATTTCAGTGGTCCCTGACTTTAGTTTATCCACACACTATCAAATGCCAGTCAACTATTTGGAGCATTGTAGAGAAAGGAATCTTACTAGAAGAGCTAAAGGGTGTGTGAATTCTTTTTATTGGTGGAAAAATCAAGGTTTGACAAGGTGTGAGGTGTAAGACAGCACGCCTGCAGAGGGGAGGGGCTGGCAAAGGCCAGCTTGTGAGGAGGCCTGTCCTGGCTGCCCCGGGGAGGGTGAGGTCACATCTTGCAGGCAAACATACAGCCCCTCCATGGGTTGAAGGCTGTGTGTGTGCAGCAGGCTGAGGTCCTGCCTGCTGAACGCATCCTCACAAGACAGCCAAGACATACATTAGTGGCTTGTTCGAAGTGAGAACTGCAAATCTGCAAAGCCATGGCCTCTTTTTATGACCTGGCACCATCCGTGTGCCTACGTAGATCCTGGCAAAACCTCTGTGCCTACCTAGATCCTGGAGCAGAGATGGTGGCCTTTGTCATCGCCATTCCAGCCGCTTCCTCGGCTTTGAGCTCAAGAATCTGATCTGGGACTGAAACCCACAGGACATTCACAAAATGTCCTAAAAGGATGTGGGAATTAGCTGTCAGATTTTCCTAGCAGCAGCAGCTGCCTGAACAATAGGTGGAAGGAGATGACTGAGACCCGATGATGAAGGAAGGAAAGCCCGCCTTTGCACACGCTGGACATCTTGTGTGCCCCACCCCACCCCCCCCCTCCTGCCACTCCCCTACCCTGGGCATCCTGTCCACTGTGGGGCAGTAAGAACTCTGCCCCACTGTAGATCAAACTGTGTTGGTTAATAATGCTTCCTTCTAATTAAACTCTCATGCCTGCAACTGTAAGCTTGTAAGTGGGAACCCATGGTTCCCAGGATGTGCGTGTCCTCACATGCCAGGGAAGGAACCACGCCAACTGATGGAATCAGGCCCTCCCTGCCAAGGGCAGCTCTTAACCCGAAGGTCACACACACACCTGGATTTCCCTTCCCCAGTAGACAGCCCATGGCCCACATCCTTTGGGGACCACAATCACCACCCAAGCACCTCCATTTTGGATGTAACAAAGAGCAGAGGCAACATAAAGAGGTCTCCGCAAAGATGCGTGGGCAAAAACAAAATGGCAGGCGCGCAAGGCCACTCACTACAGCAATATTCAGAAGAGCAAAAGACGGGAAACACCTAATGCCCCTCGGTAGGCATCTAACTGAATCAAACATGGAATGTCATAGGATGGAGGACTCCACAGCTGGTCGGACGGGCAGGAAGGTTCTCTACACGGTGCATACAGGCATCATCAGATTCTACTAAGTGAAATAAATCACAACCACTGCAGAGCAACACAATGTTCACAGTATGTCAGCACTGCGTGGAAAAGGGGGCATGGATGTTATCTGAACATGTGTGTGTGTTTCTTATATTTAAAAAAATGAAAATGGAAAAATACATAACAAATATGTAAAAGTGGTTTCCTTTATGGGGAAGGAAGGACTAGATGAGGAGACATGGTGCAAAGATACCTACATTTACAACTTTGTCTTTGAAACTATGTAAATGTTTTACATAATTAAAAGATCAAATCAAAAAGAGAAATGAAACAACCTCTAAAACTAGAAAACAAACACAAACAAATCTGGTTTTATATCATATTATTAGCATGACAAGACAGAGAATATAATAATTCCAAGTGACTTCAACTCCACATCCAAGATAGAATACATTCTAGGAACAACGGCAAGAAAACCAAAGACATCAAACTGCACTCACCGATCTTATTAGTAGTAATAATGATTAAAAATCAAAAACATTACATTGCACTCTGTAGATTTATTCGCAGTAACACTATTATAAGACACCATGCAGAAAAGCATTTATAGTATTTTTAACTTCCATGTAGGAAAGGGGATAAGGAAATTATTATAATCTATGATAGGTTAAAGAAAATGAGTCGTTTTGTCAATATCATAAGGAGCCCTGATTTCCAGTGTAAGAGAAAAGTATACAAAGAATTAAAGAAGTAAAAATGTTGTCTTATTAAACTTGAATTGGAAATATCAGCAAATTAATGATTAATTTTTCTCTTGAAAAATAAAGTATTTCCTAGCTATATCCACTAGAAAAGTCTAGAAGCAGTGATAGCCAATTAGTAATCATTGCCCCCTGGCAGCTGGACTGAGGTCTTTAAAAGCCATTTCACACCATGAGGAGGGGACCAGGGCCCTGTGAAAAAAAGTGTTGATTCCAGGTCGGGGGAAGAAAATATACCAACTAAACCTGAGATTTCTCATTGGGCAATAAAGTAAGGAAGCCATCAAAGATGAATGGGGTCATGTCAAAAGACCCCAGGAGCAAATTTGAAGTGACTGTCAACAGCCTAAGATGAAACAACTTGAGCATTAAAATGAATAAAGACTCATGGATTAAAGCAAATCAAATATATAAAAAGTAATGCATTCCTAATGGTATTTGGGAAAAAAAAGAAAAAAACAAAACCCACTGGCCACTATTGGGAGTTGCTAGAGGACCATGTCATTACTCTGAGGGTGGATCAATAAAAGGAGAGCCTGATTTTACAAATTGTGTTTCAGAGCAACCAAGCAATTGATGAAGGAAAGTTCTCATTGAAGAATTTCAGTTAGCAAGTGTACAATGAATGACGGAATTAGAAGAATCACCACTTTGTGTTAAAACTGTCAGGTGAAAGCTGGTAGAGGGACCACAATGACACCCTGAACCCACTGCTCAGAAAGCAGGTGACTCAGATGGGATATAACAACACCCAGCACCTGCTTGAACCTAAAAGAATCTAGATCCACAGAATGATGTACTGGGAATTGGGAGAATATAGGAAAGAGTTGAATCACATCAAGAGAAAGCAAAGCCAGAATATGGGACATTCTATAGGGCACATGGCCCTACTCTTCCTTCAGATCAATGGCATGAAACAAAGGGAGGAGGGCAAAAGGAAATTGTTATAGATCAAGAGACTTAAGAAGCACAACTGTACAGACACAGACATGATAAATGGGCATCACTTTCTTCAACCCACAGGGTCCCATGTGGTTTGCTAGCAGTAATGTGCCTTAGTAAATGGAGCTGTTTTGCCCGCAGTGATGGATGAGAAGTTGCCGCAGACTCCCACAGGCCAAACAGTACTTGCCTCTTCCTCTGCGCTGCTCTCTAAAAATGTCGTTTGCACTTCCCAGGCCTCATCATGCCCCACCCCCAATCTTCCTTGCCTAGCGTCAAAACCAGCCAACTGTTACCAGTCACTGAGGACCAGCTCCCTGCAAGGTGCTGGGAATATCAAGATAAAAAGCGCACTGTCTCCACTTTCCGTGCGCTGCTGTGACAGGATAGACACCAGCAAGTGATCAGCTATTTCACACCACGAGCCAATTCACCCCAGCTTGCCCCACCGGCTGCGCTCCTGTCTGTGGTTGGAGGGGCCACTCCCAGGCCTGTCTCTCCAATACCAGAACTGTGTGCTCCATCCAGTCAAGAGACAGGGGTGGATGGGGGTGGGTGTTAGAGTTTCCCTGGGGCATGCGAAGTGATGACACTGAATAATTAGTAATATTATCATGATAACATCTCACGCCCCAAGAGTTCAGAGCACCGCCTAAAAAAATGCACACATAGTATATCCCTTCCACACTTCACACGGTGCAATGTGAATCTGTTACATTCCGTGCTAGCACCAAAGGCAAGCAAAACCAAAAAAAACACCCAAAACTGGGGAAAAAAAAAAAAAAAGTTCCAATCGTCCAATCTTTCCTTTCCAGTCATCTGGTGCCACCAAGTGGCCAGTAAAATTTCTACTCCTTTAAAAAACAGGCGAGGAGGCTGGGGAGGAGGGGAGAGCAGGGGCGGGAACAGGACACCATTATCGGGACGCTCAAGCCTGGGACGCATCTCAGCGTGGTCTGTACCCCAAACCTGAGGGATATTACGTTTTCTGAAGAGTTCTATCTTCAAATTAAAGGGCCAGTGTTGTATTAAAAAAAAAAAGGTAAAAGCCGGCATAGCAACAAATCTGTTTCATTTCTTCTTAGTCACAGAAATAACTGCTAGAATAAATGCAGCATATATACTGTAACTATATTTTAATGAAATACAAGTTACAAAAATAAGGATTTCTTTACTAGACCTCCCAGTTTTTTTGTGTTTATTGGGTCTGTTCTTCTTAATGATATTTTTGGATGAATTTTTTCTAAGTGAATAGCAAGAAGCATGCCCCAGTGTTCAAGTTTAGAGAAATGTACTTTTCTAGTTTAGTATCTAGGTCCTCAAAAGAGTTTTAAGTCCTGTTAAACCAGGGCCCCTACCCTGATCCTGTCACTATCAGCTGTAGGATGCTGGGCAAGTTCCAAATTTTATCTAGGGCTTATTTTGCCCTTTTATAAAATGGCATGTAGTACCTCCTCTCCCACTGTCATTGTGGACTTGAACACACGCAGCGTTCTCCATCCCTAGGTTTGAAAAGATAGAAAACAACAACTTGTGTGGAAAAACCTCTAATGGAATTACCCAGGAAGAAAGGGGGCTCAGAAATCCAGCAAGTTACCAGGATAATGAAATAGCATCTTTGGGTGCTCCTGGCCTGAGGGATGTAAAACTCAACTTACTCCAGCTCATCCTCGGAGTCGTAGCCCACTGGTCCGGACTCGATGGCAATGACCTCATTCCTTGTCTGACTTTGTTTCCAGGTGCTACTTCCTGTGGACGACGGCGATTCTTTTCTCTTCTTCTTCCCAAAAAACTTCTTAAAAGTTTTGAATTTAGATTTTTTCTTTCCTATACAGATCAGAGAAAAAAAAAAAAAACAATAAGTAAGAGTGTGTACAATGTGTGTTTATGGGCATGTATGCAATGGGCACGTAAGGGGAAAAAGCAAGATTTCCATCCATGTATGTTATCTGCTTCTGAAAAGTCCTTTTACTCCACAGAAGTACATGGTATACCAGTTTTACACACCTGAAAATGCATCTTGTTTTCTCTTTATTAAGGATATTTAAATAAAAGAGCCAAGAATGTTCTGGAAGATGATCACAGAATCAAAATTAGCAACCTTCCTCTCATGTATAACCAAGTTTTAATTTCTAAAATATGTGTAAGTCAACCACAAAAGTCTTGAGGAGGTAAAAGTTATGGGATAACCCAAGCAATTTAGGAAATAATTCTTGGCCAGGCATGGTGGCTCACAACCTATAATCTCAGCTCTTTGAGAGGCTGAAGCGGGAGGTTTGCTTGAGCTCAGGAGTTTGAGACCAGCCTGGGCAACATAGTGAGACCTTGTTACTACCAAAAAAAAAAAAAAAAAAAAGCTGGGCATGGTGCCACATGCCTGTAGTCCCAGCTAGTAGGGAGGCTAGTTTGCTTGAGCCCAGGAGTTTGAGGCTGTAGTGAGCTATGATTGCACCATTGCACTCTAGCCTTGGCAACAGAGCAAGACTCTGTCTCAAAAATAAATAAATAAATAAGAATGCTGAAATGCTTTGTCTAGTGTGAATACAGCATCAAGGACAATCAGAGGTGGCCCAACCTTATGGGCAAGAAGGTGGCTCTCTGGGGCACCAAATGCATGATGAGCTAATGACTCTTGCTGAGAAAAATAACAAGATTGGTCATCCCCACAGGGCCAACTCTGCCATGTTTCCTGGATTATTAGAATTCACCACACTTTTCAACATTTTATGATCATTTCTCTGGTGACACCTTCATTCTCTCCCAGGTTTCCACGATTTCACATTTGCTGCTCAGCAAAGTTCACTCCTTTCCTGGAATAGTTACGGAACTGACAGTTGAAGGATGCCGCATCATAGATTACCAGGATGCTGTCTAATACATCCTGAAAATTTGCAAAACTATTCGTTTTTATAGTAATTTAATAAACTGAATTCCTTAAAAAACCCAGGATCTTTCTATTGTGTTTATATTATTGCTCCCTTGAGAAACTTACATGATCTTACTCTCATGGGGGAATTACGTAGGATTACTTCAGTAGGAGTTCCTACATCATTACAGGTAGAACAAATCCCTCTCCGAGGAGAAATCAGTTCTACAGCACAGTTTTCTCAACTTCTAGTGGAAGTGTTCTTAACTTTATAATTGTAAAAAATGTTTATGTTGTTAGCTGATAGTTGTCAATGAGCATTTATTATTTTGAAAGACTCTTAAGAGTTTTCTGCATTTGGTCAGGACACCCTGTGACTTTTGCCTAGTCAACAAATTGGTATGCATCCTCAAAGGCCTGAATAGATACACAACCTCAATATCATGACCATCAAAGATGCTGCTTACAGCATTAATGGCGTCCTCAAGTATAACTGGTAGACCTCAAGTATAACTGCTGTATACTTTTGTTTCACTGGCAGGGCTTAGTCAGCCATCCATTTGTTCATGTTATATTTCTTCTCCTGCTAGGATGTGTAATTCAATTTCTTTAATGGTTACAGGACTAGTCCAGTTTTCTACTTCTTGAATCTGATTTTTTAAGTAACATTTTTCTGAAAATGTATTTTTTTCCAAATTTTCAAATGTATTGGCAAAAATTGTTAATAATATCTTTTTATCTTTCAAGCATTCACAACATCTATAGTGACTGATGGCTCTTTTTTCAACCTGATATCATCATAAATGTGCCTCTTCTTTTTTCCTTGATCAATTGCACCAGAGATTTATCAATTTTAATTGCTTTAAAAAAGTTTAGCTTTGTTAATTCTACTGAATTTTTATTTTATATTGTATTAATTTCTGTTCTTATCTTTATTCCTTCCTTCCTACTTTCTTCAGGTTTACTTCGCTATTTTCTTAAACTTCTTGAGATGAACACTTGGTTTACTACTTTTTAGACTTTCCTGTTTTAATAATATAATATTTAAGGCAATGCATTTCCCTCTAAGTCTGTTTTAGCTGCATATACATGTTTTAAAATATAGTATTTTCATTATTGTTTGGTCAAAAATATTTTCTAATTTCTACTGTGATACTTCTTAGACTTATGGGTTATTTAGGAAAGTAAGTCTTCATTTCCAAGCAGTTGAGGATTTTCAATCTGTTATTGATTTCTAGCTTAATTGCACTGTGGTCCAATAACATACTCTGAAAGATTTGAACGCATTCAAATCTGTTGATACTTGCTTTATGGCTTACCATATGAACAATTTTTTAAAATGTTCCTGGTGTGCTTGAAAATAATGCATTTTCATCAATGTTCAATATATGTCAATTAGAACAAGACCTTTTTTAAAAAAATTGTGTTGTCCAAGTACTTTATACCTTTACTGATTTTTAAAATGTTTGTTGTATCAATTACTGAGAGAGATGTGTTAAAAATAACCCACTCTGATTATAGATTTTTAAATTTATCTTAAGTTGTCAATTTCTACTTTACAACTTTATTTGTTGGAGAGGTTGCTTTCCGGCAAAAACCAGAAAGCCTGCTAGACAAATTCTAAAAGAGCAGTAATACAACTTTCTATAACATGTTAATGAATAGAAATGTAAAATTATTATCTTGCTGGGGAACTGAATCTTTTGTGGAATGGCCCTCTTTATGTCTAGTTATATTTTTTGTCTTACATTTCATTTTGACTGCTATTAGTACAGGTTTATCATATCAAATCTGAAAATCTGAAATGCTCCAAAATCTGAAACTTTTTGAGTACCCACATGATGCTTAAAGGAAATGCTCACTGGAGAATTTCAGACTTTGGATTTTCAAATTTGAGACTTTCAACTGGGAAGTATAATGCATGTATTCAAAAATCTGAAATCCAAAACACTCCTGATCCAAGCATTTTGGATAAGGGATACTCAACCTGGATAGCTACACCATCTTCCTTTACCCAGTGTTCACAAGGTGTAGGTTTTTGTGTCCTATTACTAGCCTTACTTTTCTGAACCTTTATAGTTAAGATTAATATATTTAGAGTTTTGGAATTTAATCTGATCATCCTTAACTCTTAACTGGAACAATTAATGTAATTAACTAGTCCACTTACATGCTCTGTAATTATTGATATATTAATAAAAACAAGTCTATCATCTTAGGGGTTTTTTAATTGTTCTTTAAAAAAATCATTCAATTTCTTCCATTGCTAGTTTATAAACCTCACCTTTTGCTTCTGTACTTTCAGTGGTTACCCTAGAAATTATATTACACTTTTGATTACAGGACAATACAAGGACCTTAGAATACTTTAATTCCATTTTTATACCCTATTGTTTTAATTCTGATTGTTAAAAAAAACCCCAAAGTTATTTCATGTTCACATAGATATATCCACTTGTTTTCTTTATTCTTCATTCCTTCTCATATTCCAGATTGTCCCTTAGGAAGATTTTCCTTTGGCCTGAGGGTGCATTTGTGTGGAATCTGTTTTACTGAGGGCTTACTGGGACCAGCCCAGTTTTTGTTTGTCCGAAATGCCTTCATTTGTCCATCACTCTTGAAATATATTTTCCTAAGTATAACATTCTATTAGGTTGGTGCAAAAGTAATGCATCTCTTGCCATGACATTTAATGGCAAAAATGGCAATTACTTTTGCACCAACATAATAGTTCAGCAGTTACTTTTCCCAAGGATATTTAGGCTATTGTTTCCCTGTTCTGTGGCTTCCATTGTGTTGAGAAGTCAGGCATTAAATACTTTTTTGCTCTTTTCCAGATAATCTGTCTCTTTCTCTCAGACTCATAAGATTATTCATCCTCTGGTTTTCTGCAGTTTTATTTCATATGGATTTTCTTTGATTTATCCTTCTTGGGATTCATTGGGTTTCTTAAACCTATGAGTTGGTCATCTTTTTGATAAAATCCAGAAAATTCTCAGCCCTTCTCTCCTCTCCTGAGACTGTGCTCAAATGGATGTTACACCCTTTCACTTACTCTCTATGCCCCTTGTTCTCTTTTCTGTATTTTCCATCCTTTTGCCATTCTATGGTACATTTTGTATAATTTCTTGTGATCTATCTTGATCTGATATAATCTGCTATTATATCCAAGCATTTTAATTATTACATTTATTTTAAATAAATTTAATTTAAAATAAAATTTTAATTATTGCATTTATTTCTAAAAAATCCTTTGTTTTTCAAATCTGCCATATCTTGTAAAAACACTTATTGTTAAAATTACACACAGTAAAATTCATTCTTTTTGGTGTACATAGAGTTGTATAATTATCACTGCAATCAAGATACAGAACTGTCCTCATGCTGCCCTTTTGTAGTCCAACCTTCTCCAATATCATTAACCCCGGGCAACCACTTATAACTTCTCTGTTTCTATAGTTTTGCCTTTTCTAGAATGTCATATAGGTTAAGTCACACAGTACGTCCCCTTTTCATTCTGGCTTCTTCCATTCAGTACAACACATTAGAGATTCACTCATGTTATACCAATCAATAGTTTGTTCCTTTCTGTTGTTGAGATTGTGTGGATATACCAGTGTGTTGAACCATTTTAACCTAAACCCATTTCAATCTGGGTTCTTTTCAGTTTTTAGCAATTATAAATAAAGTTGCTATAGTTTGTGTGTATGTGTGTGTGCGTGTGTAAACCTAAGTTTTTACTGCCAAGTAAATACCTAGGATTTGGATTGCTGAGTCATAGGCTAAGTGTATGTTTAACTTCACAAGAAGCTGCCAAATGTTTTTCCAAAGTGGCTGTACCATTTTGGATTCCTCCCTTCAATGCACACTTACCAGCTCCTGTTGTTATGATGGTTTTCTCCAGACATTTAATAGGTGGGTCATGGTATTTCATTGTAGTTTTACTTTGCATTACCTAATGATTATAGATATTGAGCATTTCTTCATGTGCTTATTTTCCATCTGTACATCTTCTTACGTAAAGCATCATTTAAAATTTGATGTTCATTTTGTAACTGGGTTATTTGTTTTCCTATTTTTTCTAAATACATGATGTAAGTCTTTAATCAAGTGTGGACGTAAGTCCGGGATATAAGTCCTTTATCAAGTGTGATTTATAAATATTTTCTCCTGGTCTGTGACTTGTCTTTTCATTTTCTTAAAAGTGTATTTCACACAACATATATGTACATATATACATATATATATGTGTGTGTGTATATATATATGTGTGTATATATATATATATATATATATATATTTTTTTTTTTTTTTAAGACGAGGTTTCGCCATGTTGGTTGGGCTGGTCTTGAACTCCCGACCTCAGGTGATCCGCCCGCCTTGGTCTCCAAAGTGCTTGGATTACAGTCGTGAGCCATCACACAACATATTTTAAAGTTTTGATGAAGTCCAATTTATAAATTTTTTCCTTTTATGGATTCAGGTATCATATCTAAGAACCCTTGCCCAATCCTGGGTCATAAACATCTTCTCCTATGCTTTCTTTTAAACATGTTAGAGTTTTACATTTAAGTTTATGACACACTTTGAGTTTTTTGTATAATCTGTGAGGTATATTCACATGTGAATGTCCAATTGTTCCAGCACCATTTGTTGAAATACTAAACTTTCTCCAATGAATTGCCTTTACGGTTTTGTCAAAATCAGTTAACCATATTTGTATGGGTCTGTTTGAACTCTATTCCCTTCTGTCTCTGTGCATCTGTCCTTTTGCCAATACCATACTGTCTTGATTACTGCAGCTTTATACTAAGTATTAAAAACAGGTAGTACGAAACTTTCAATTTTACTCTTTTTCAAAATTGTTTTATCTATTCTAGCTCTTTGCTTTTTCACACAGATTTTCAAATCAGCTTGCCAATATCTGCAAAAAGTCCTGCTGGGATTTTGACTGCTTCGTCTTTACGCCTCCTCCTCCCCATTTCTGAGGGTTATTTCAAAAAAATCATCCCAGACACTATTATTATTAATCTATAGGAACTTGGCTTTTTCCTAAAGGAAAAAAATCTCTGACTCTTCATGAAAATCAAACAAATTATTACTTGTCAGTATTCCTGCTACAGAATATTGAGCTAATTGTAGGTCTGCCTTCCATAACTGACTTTTAAAGAGTGTACTGTAACTACATATACTAACACACAATTTTGTAGCTCAGTTTGGGGAGAACTGACAGCAACACTGAGTCCTCCAATCTATAAACATACTATCTCTCCTCATGTAGTTAGGTCTGCTAATTTCTTTAAACAATTATTAGTATTTTCCAGAATGTGGATCCTGCATATATTTTACTAAATAGACGCCTAAATATTTCAATTTTTTGGTACTTTTAAAATTTCCATTTTTCAATCGTTCATTGTTAGCATACAGAAATCCAATTGATTCTAAATATATTGACCTGTATCTTGCAATCTTGCTATATTTGTGTAAGAGTTCTGAGTGCTTTTTTTGTGTATGTTGTCCCCATAATCATGTCATCTGTAAATAGAGACAGTTTTATTTCTTTCTTCCATCTCTCTGCCTTTTAATCCTTTCTCTTGCTTTATTGCACTGGCCGGGTGATATGGCACTTTTTTATAGTTCCCTGGAACTTTCAGATATTTTAAAACATTTTTATGATCTTCAAACATAGCATGCATGGTTGTTGTATAGGAAGTATTTGGTGATTCTGATATTTATGCCTTCATGTGTCTGTTTCTTGTGTCTGTCTGCATGTGTGCATGGCGTTCTCCTTGTGTGCATACCTACGTACACAGTTCCCCTTTTCATAAGGACACCGTCATATTGGAATAGGAGCCCACCCTACTCCAGTATGATCTCATCTTAATGAATCACATCTGCAAGAACTCAGCCTTCAAATAAAGCCACATTTGGAGATACTGGAGACTTCACATATGAATTTGGTGGGAGCACAATTCAACCAATGGCATGTTGGTTCTCATTCATGATATCCTGTTGCCTTAGATGCCTGATGATCACTGACTAGATGCTTGTCATGATACTGAAAATATCATTTTCTGTAATAATTTGAAGTCTAAATGGAAGGCACCTTCCTTTAGTGAATATTATTTGCTTCTGCAAAGTACCTGGGTTTACATCTAGTGCAGAAGCAATATTAATCAAGTTCAAGGGTTGAGGTTCTCTGAATTACCCAAATGATGCAAACTCAAGCTACAAATCTACACAAGGGTTGGTTTACCCCTAGCTCACACCTACTCAGATTTTGCAACTCCTTGGCTCCCCTTTATTGCAGAGAGTGTCTTCTATGAGACAGTCTACTTTATACAGGCCTTGTACTTCGATAATTGACCCTCCTTACTCTTACCTTCCAACCCATGAAGACATGAAAATTTCCAGGATTGATAATTTCCAAGACCAGTAAATGATCTAAGGTCAAAAGTGGCTTTTAGACTCTGTTGTCTCCCCAGGTTACCATTTTCCTTTCCTTTTTTTTTTTTTTTTTTTTCCTGAGGCAGGGTCTTCCTTGTTGCCCAGGCTGGAGTATAGCAGTGTAATCACGGCCCACTGTAGCATTAACCTCCTGGGACTACAGGTTTGTGCCACCATATCCAGCTAATTTTTAAAATTTTTTGTAGAGACAGGGTCTCACTATGCCCAAACCGTTCTTGAACTCCTGGGCTCAAGTAATCTTCTACCTTGGACTCCCAGAGTGCTGGGATTACAGTGGGAGCCACTGTGCCTGGCCCATTTTTATTTCAGTTCTGGTCTTTATTATTTCTTACTTTGAAAAACATTTTAAAGAATATTCTTATCTAGAATTTTAAATTTTCAGTGGAAGAGGGTTGGTCTAAATAACTTAAGCTCACTATTTGAAAAAAGAAAACTTAGTCTCTTTTCTTCAGTAACCTCTGTATGTATTCAGAGCTAGCATTTAAGGAGGTTATTTCGGGCTGATGAAATATTTATTCAAACATTTCTTGTTTAAAATAAGTAATAAACAGTGTCCCATAATATGAGAAAATTTGAAACTCCATTTTTTTCAGGGCTCATCTAAAAACCCTCATTTTAAATTGGGATTTATTTGGTATCCATTGAAATGTGACAGAGGAAAAAATGATTCTAACATGAAATAATAAGAAAAAAATCTATCCATAATATTTGAAATGGAGTCTTTACTGAAATTAGAATCCGAACCTAGTGGCTAGCAGCTAGGATTTAATATTATTGGGAACTGTTTCTCCTGAACTATATCAAAGACAATCACTACTAGCATTTTGAATGTAAATAAGAGAGAGATGGAGACTGTGGTCACCAAAATAAGGGGAGGCTATGAATGGCTAACCTAGGTAAAAAGCACATTGTGGGGAGATTAATTTTTAATGTCAATTTTACAACTCTATCAGGACATAAATAGCAATATGTGGATAACAGTAAACCAATCGCATAATTGGAGAACTCTTAGAATGTCTTATGAGATGATGATTTATGGCCTAGAATTTAGCTCAGCAGAAAACATACTAAAGGTCTCCTTCAGAATAAAAGTCATAAAAGAGAGGGATCAAAGGCTCTCTCTTGATGTAATTATTTTTCTTACAGACGATCAGGCTGTCAGGTACTTTGCTCAGCCTCCTACAGATTTCTTTGGATATTCTTGGACGGTAAATAAATCCATTTAGTGCCTCTTCCTTTGCATTCAAGTCAACCAAACATGGGGACTGGTTACCTCCAGGAAGGAGGAAAATGAACCGGAAAGTCCCTGTGCTTGACAGAGAAGCAGAGGAACTCTGTCCTGAACAGCTTTAAATAATGTGTATGTGCTCTCAGTCACAGTGTGGAGGGCCTAAGGGTATCTGACCACACTGGGAACTGAACCCCCACTTTTCATACAGAGAGCCCCAAAGGTCTGCCTCCGTCAGCCCCTCTCCCTGCCCCACAACAAAGCAAGTATCCTCCCCAGAGCAGAGGAAGCAGGGCCTTACCTGTACTGTCCTCCCCAAGGCCTTCTGCAGCCTCCCGAAGTTTAATGTCCATCACCCTTGTGGAAATCATGTCGAGCTCCCTGAAATTAGATGGAAATTCACGCTAAAGGAATGTGGTTAGTAGAAGTTACCAATGAGTGAAATGGTGTTGGTGACTGCATTTGCCATGATCTGGCCTGCATACACCCCAGCAAAGACAGTCCAGGGCAGAGTGCAGCACAGTACAGGCCAAAACCGTGTCCACAGCCACAAGATTGGTAACAGCACAAGCGTTTAATCACTGACTGGGGTGATTTAATGGAAAACAGATCACTGAAACAAATGCTTCACTAATTTACGCAATGTAGATTAGTTTCTTTCAAAAAGGTTTTTCTCAAATTATAAGAAATGATTTTTTCTCTTGTTTACTACAGGAAGTTTGGAAAATAGAATGAAAATCACCCACAATCCAACCAACCAAGGATAACACAGTTAATGTTTCCATTTCCTTCCAGTCATTTTTTATGCAAATATTTTGTCCACATGCACACACATATCATATTAGAAAGCTTGACTGCCTGATTTTCTTACTTATACCACATTATTAAAATTCTTCATGTGTTATTTTAATGGCTACTTAATATTTTGATATATGCTATAACATCATTTATTTACATTGAGTTTCTTTTTTGAATGCAATGAAAAATTTAAAACAGATACAAAAATATGAAGAACATAAAATGAACTCAACATATGGCTACTCTTGCTTCATCCTTATACCCACACTTCATCCCACTCCTATGCAGTGATTTCTAAGCAAATCATCCCAGACACGATGATCATTTCATCCACGTAAATTCAGCTGCTTCCTGAATTTAAAAAATCCCTCATACTTTATAGAAATCAAATACATGATTACTGGCCAATATTCCTGTTACAGAATACTGAACTAATGGTGTCCCTGCCTTCCATAACTGACTCCATAGTTACTGTGTGCTCTAACTCCACATGCTGTCACAACATTTATTTGGAAAGCTATTTCTTACTGCTAGGTACGATGAATCCTCACACTTAAAAACGGGGGCTTGAATATCTAACCAATTCATATTAGCATGGAATGGGAAGTGATGGGGGAAATGCAAAGAAAAAATGAACAGAGAAAAAGAGTCGTGGGTCTGTGCCTGAGTTGGCTCTAATATTTAGATTTCTTCCAATGTTCATCCTCCCTACCAGCCAAACCCTTAAAAGCTGAACAAAGTTTCACCAGCTCTGGCACTAATGTTCATACAATTTGGCTTGAAAAAAAATGTCTAGTCTTTTGTCAGCTCTGCCGAAAACGCTTGGAACCTCACCAAACTTGACTGATGATCATGCTATCATTATATACAAAATGAGAGTTGGACAGAAACAGTAGTTTTCAAATCCATTACCACTGTTTTAGGCTTCAAAGAACAGCCTTGCTTTCATTATCTGTGTTCACTGTCAAAGTAACAAACAGTGCTATTAAACAGCAAAATGATAATAGTTCCAGGCTGGTGGCCCAACCCAAAGGCCCAGGTGTTCCAAAGGTCACCCCCTCAATCCCCCCACCCTCCAATATGTAAGTCAGTCAGCAACCCGCTGATCCCCAAGTGTCCTTTAAAGGAGGTAGCTACCAGAGTATTCAATGGAGAAGGAAAACATAAGGTGTAAAGGGAAGAGTGAAGATGGTGAGAGTGGCCTCAGATTTGCCATTTGTTCCCCTAGGTGCCATCTCCTGAGGCTGCCACTGAGCTCTAGCTCAGTGCAAGAGTTTTCCCTTGCCTGAATTTGGAGGTAACTATGACAACTGCAAATTACTCAAGCATGCAAGTATCATCAGAATTATCTCATTGAATCCCAGGAACTCTTAGTATTCCCATTTTGGAGATGAGAACATTTTTAGCTCACTGCAGCCTAACTTCCTGCACTCAAGAGATTCTCCTGCCTTAGCCCCTAAATAGCCGGGACCACAGGCCTGCACCACCATACTCGGCTAACTTTTGTAGAGACGGGGTTTCACCATGTTGGCCAGGCTGGTCTTGAACTCCTGACCTCAAGCAATCTGCTTACTTCAGCCTCCCAAAGTGCTTGGGATTACAGGTGTGAGCCACTGCACCTAGCAGAGAACATTTCTAATATTAGGTGGTTTATCCTTGCCCAAGGTAGCAGAACAGACATGGCGTCTATGCTCACGCTGACTGTGCACCCAGAACGGGCGGGTGCTTCTGAGGCACTGGGATGCAGTGACGGATGAGATCTATGTGGTTCCTGCCTCTTGCAGGTGCTGACCAGTGAAGGGGAGAGTCCTGAGTTGTCCCAAGTGGGGCTCAAGGGAAGCTGGAGAATCCAAAGGACAGGATCTCCCACTGAAATGGCTCTGCTTGCCAAGAAGCCCTGCCCAGGGTCAGGCCAGAACTCAGACTCTGGAGGAGCCCTGAGAGATCATGCACTGGGTCTGGTGGGGTGTCTTCATCTGGGGAAAGGAACTGGAGGTTACTGTGATGTGTCACCTAACTGGAAAAGGATGAACACTCTGGAGAAACCATGATGTTATACAAAACATCCGGGTAGTGTGGACACCTGGCAAATGAAAAGTGTCCTTGTTGGGAAGAACAAGGCGTGTGCCAGAGGTGTGTGTGAGAGTGTGCATGAGCCCTGTGGGTGAGTATGCAGGGGGCACCCCCCCTGCCAAGCCTGGATCAGTCCACAGGCTCAGGCTTGCTTCTCCCTGGGTTGAAGGACGTGGCTCTGAGAAAGCTGCATGGGGCAGAGGGTTCAGGTGCAGATGTAGGTGGAGGGCAGGGGGGATGGGAGGTGATCCAGTCTCACCTGCATAGGTCCTTCCACCCTACGTCCAGCCAGAAGATGCAGACAGCACTCCCAGACCGCCAAGACCACCAAGACGGCCAGTGGACTCACACAACGAGGCGAAGTTTGCTTACCGACAAAGGAACAACAAATGGAGCTCGTGTCACATGGAAGGTTTCAGAACCTACTCATGTTTTACGTCCCAAGCATCTTCATACTGATAACAGCATAACATGGGTTGGAGGAAAGAGACAAAGACTTGGATGTCAGGCAGTCCTGGGGTGGCATCCTTACCCCGCCACCTACCAGTGCCAGGCCTCAGTCTCCTCATATGCAAAAGAAGGATAATAATACCATAATCAAACGAGACCAGGACACAGCATGCAGCATACACAACCTGAGCCCTGCTGTCGGTTTCTGCAGGCTGCTCCTCACTGCCGTGGCCTACTGTTTATGCACAAAGCCTCCCAGAGCACACGTGCCCGGCACGCCCTGGCAGCAGGTAAGCGCCGGTCTTCCAAGTGAATGGCTCACCTCAAAGTCGCCATTGTCAGTCACGGGACAAACACCCATTTTCCCAGCTGACCCCTGTGCTTCCTGATTCCTACCACCCGATGGGCTCAAACCACTGCCAGGTAACTGATGAAAACATGTTCAGGGTCGCGGAGGAATGTCTGTCCTGAGACCACAGGCTGCACAGGTGGAGAACTGTTTACTTCACGAGGACATTCCACGTGCAAACACCCCACAGCTGTGACCATGGAACGTCATCTCTGCGGGGCCAAGTGACTTGCCTTTCTGAACATGTGTTCCCATACCCCCAGTAAAGTTCAAGGAAACGCCAGGAGTAAAACCAGAATTAGAAAGGCAGTGTGGCAAGTACCCAATCTCTCCCAGGCCTCCTTTTGCTTCTCACACGAAGACAGTGCTTCTCACTGAAACTCCAAGATCAAGTCAGGCCACCTCAGTGTCCCCTCACCAGCGTCTGCCCTCCACCCTTCCACTCCTGGAGTTGGAACAAAAAACGTTAAACCTAGTCAGTCAGCCTTAGTCCTCATCGCCCACCTTCCTGTACCTCGGAAGGCTGTTGAACCTTGCCTGTGTCCTGCTCTTAGCTCCTCCAGACTTCATCTTAATGCTGCTCAGACACGAACAAAAGCACGCAGTAGCTTCAAGTAGCCCTCTCCTTCATCTCTGCCCTAAGTGAGCTGGCCACTGAGCTCCAAGTCAAAGAAAACTTACTCTTTAAACTAAATCTAGACCAACCGGGGTTCTTCAGGGGTTCTAATGAACTCACAAGAGTGCTGAGCTTCCAGCCCCTGCTGCAGGGCGCATCACTTGTCAGTGTGTATCCTGGCACCCACAGAATCCAGGGGAGTCCTGCATCTAAAAAAGACCCCTTAATGTGGGGGCTACCACACGCCCTCTCCCTCCACCCTAATGACCACAGGCTCCTTCCCAGCTTATAGGAGGGTTCCATCATTAGTCTCAGCTTCTGTTGAAATATACAAAAGTTAATTCACATAAAGAATGAGAATAGATTTTAATATGGTATTTTAAAGGTTTCAATCCATTATATTTACCTATATAATGCAAAGAAAAATATCTGTCCCTGACTCCATACATCTGAGCATATAATTATGCATAAAAGCTTTAGTGTTCACCCTACAGATCCCCTAATCCCACACCACCCTCCAGGCTGTTTAGACCCCTGTGGATTCTTTCTTAGCTCCCAGTACCTTTCTTTCACATTGCTTACCAAGGTTGTCATCAATAACTTGTTTGGGAGGTGTCTGCTTAGCATTCCTTCCTCCCAAGGCTGTGGGTTTTGAGGGGTGAGAGCTATGCGTATTATATTCACTGCTCTTTTACCAGTACCCAGGACAGTGCCCAATCAAAGGAGTGAACCCAGCACACAAACAAGATAACTGACAAACTAGAGAAGGTTCTGGGGGTATTAGAATCCTTTGAGATCTTCGAATATCAATTCATGTAACCTCAGAGAGCTATAGAAAGACCTAGAGAGAGTAACTCTTGGTTCACTTTTCCCTTATCAGTTTGAGGAGGTGATTTAATCTACCAGAAGTCAGCCTTAGGGAAGATAGGAAAACACCCACCTTTATTCAGTGTCTTTCCACCTCCCTTTCCAACAGTGCTCTCCCTCACTTTCTTCCCATGGCAGGGTTCTGCCATCTACCCTGCATCACCTTCTCCAGGGTCTCTGTACCCACCAACTTTCAGGTCAGTATCAGCAGTGATGTCCTCTCAGAGG